CTTTATCTTCTTTAATTATTAACAGGAGAGAAATTTAGTGTCCTTCCAGTCTCAAATTATCATTAAATTCTTCCTTTTCCAGCATACTTAACCATCTCAGCAACATGTTGAGCTAATTGATGATCAGTAGTACTAAAATACAATTAATTACTGAATTCCAAAAAGTTGAGTGAGCAAAACTGAAAACTGAGTGGCTCGGTTGAACTCTTGCTGTCATAGAGTGTGATTTGAACCTTAAAACTTTTCAGAAAATTTCACTGTATAAATAAAGGTAGGAAATGAACACTTAACCAGTAAATACTAAGAACATAACAAATATGGCATGGTAATTAACGAATGTGTGTCAGGGAGTTCACTTGAGAGTACTGGAACTGTTGCGTGGATTTTTATTGATTAATCAATAGTGGGTTTATGTTGAGTGTTATTTACAGATTTGATAGTTTATAATATTATGGTTAAGAGTCATATGTCACCAAAAATAATTGCTGTTTTCTTTACATTTGATTTGTTAAGGTTGATAGCTAATATACTAGGATATAAAAGTCAAAATTGATTTAACGATATACTACAACAATAAAATGCAACATAATTTTGCCATACATACCTTGTTTTATAGTTTTTGACAAGAGCTCTGGTGGCTTAGTGGTAAGAAGCTGCACTGCCAACCCAAAGGTATGTGGTTTGAATCCACCAGCCGCTCTGCGAGAGACAGCAATCTCTGCAAATTCCTCCCATGTGATTTAAAGCCTCTGAAAACCTGATGGAGAATCACCTATCAGTTGATTCTGACTCAACATACAAAGCGAAGAAGCTTATAGTATTTGTTGCAATTTTATGCTTATTTTCCTCATTAGAATCTCACTTCTGGAGTAGGTAGGTAGGGGAGGTATTCATTCTTCACTTATCTTTTTTTTCTTTCCATATCATTCTTTTGCATGATGAAATTTATACCTGTTTCTGATAAAATTTATTTTATAAAAAATTATTAATTCATTTCCTATTGCTACCATTACAAGTTACAAATTGAGTGGCCTAAAACAACACACACATTACCTCACAATTCTTTATATCAGAAGTCTGATGACACATGTCAGTTTTTCACAAATCCAAAATCAAGATGTCTCCAAGAGCTGAATTCCTTTCTTACAGTTCTAGATCAGAAACTGCTTGCTGAGACATCTAGGTTTTTACCTGAATTGCCATTCATTTGTTTCCTTGGTACTAAAGTTTCTATTTTCCTGGACCATTGTTGGCTTCTAGAGGCTGTTTGTATTCTCTAGATAATGGACCCCTTCCTCCATCTTCAAGATCATCAATAAGAAAATTTCAGTGGAAGCCTTCTCTTGGTTTTAATTCAGCCTTTACCATCCTCTTTTATTACAGTCTTTCTCTTTGAATGTTCTGGTTTTAAGAAACCATGTAATTAAAATGTTGCCATTTTAAAAATGCAAAATAATGTTCCTACCTAGGTGGCCTAGGGAGTTCTGGTAACATAATGGCAAGAAGCAGCACTGCAATGCCAAAAGTATGTGGTTCGAATCCCAACAGCTGGTCTGTGGGAGAAGGATGGGCAGTCTCTTCCCGTGCAATTAACTGCCTCTGAAAACTCTCCAGAGGGTCAGCTATGGATTGGCTCCAACAGCAGCAACAACATTTTATTTTCTACTGGTTTACATAAAAAGTATATGAAGTTCTTTATACATTGTTTTTCCACACCAGATTTTCCCCCTTTCCTTTACCCATCCCTCCCTCCACCCTTCAAATTGTGTGACCCTATGATTAAGCTCCCCCTCCTTGGATCTTCATACTTGTTCTATAATAGTGGTCTTACACAGTATGTATGAGACTGAGTCAACTCAATATAATGCTCCCCAGTCTCTCCCATGTTGGGTAGTAATTTACAAAATCATTTCTCCTGCGTTCTGCGTAGCATTCCATTGTGTGAATGTACCATAATTTCTCAATTCCATTGTAGTTGGGTGTTTGGGCTGTTTCCATGTTCTTGCTATGGTGAATAATGCAACTATTAACATTGGTGTACACGTCTCTATTTGTACCTCAGTTCTCATTTTCTCAGGGTATATTCCAAACATTGGAATAGCTAGGTTATATGGAATTTCTGTGCTCAGCTTTTTGAGGAAGCTCCAAACTGCCTTCTAGAGTGGTTGTACCATTTTACAATCCCACCAACAATGTCCAAGAAAGAGTTCCTATCTTGCCACATCCTCTCTAACATTATTACTTGCTGCCCTGGTAAACTTTGCCACTGCTACTGGGGTAAGATGGTATCTCATTGTGGTTTTGATTTGTATCTCTCTTATTGCCAGTGATTTAGATCATTTCTTCATGTGTCTGTTTGCCTTCTGAATGTCTTCCTGTGTGAAAAATCTTTGTTTTTTGCCCATTTTATAATTGGATTATCAGTCTTTTTCTTCTGGAGTCCCAGGAGTGTTCTGTAAACTTTTGTTATGAGACCCTTGTCTGAGATGGTATTGCCAAATGTTTGTTTGCAGTCAGTAGGTTTTCTTTTCACCTTGTTGGAAAAAAGGTTTTTATGAGAACAGAGATTTACTCTTTAGAAGGTCCCATTCATCAATATTACCCTCCTCAGATTGTGCATTTCTGGCCTCATTTAGCAGTACGTTTATACCGTAGACTAGGCGTTGTACGCTTGGTGTCCTAGTTTGTCTCTTATGGACTTTATGGTATTGGGCTTTATTCCCACGTTTCTGATCCACCATGAATTGGTTTTTGTCTATGGTGTGAAATGTGGATCCTGTTTCAGCTTTCTGCAGGTGGTATTACAATTTTGCCAGTACTGTTTGTTGAAGAGCTTGTCATGTCCCCCTTCGATAGGCTTAATTTCCTTGGTGAACAGATGGGTCCATTTCTGAGTTCTCAATTCTGTTCCATTCGTCTATGTGCCTGTCATTTAACTAGTACCGTGCTGTTTTGGTTAATACTGCTGTGCAGTAGGTTTTGAGGTAAGGGAGTACTATGTCTCCCACTTCAATTTTTATTTTGAGAAATGCTTTGCTTATTCGGGATCTCTTTCCTTCCCAAATAGACTTGACAGTTTCCCTTTTAATCTCCTTGAAAAAGGAATTTGGTATCTGGATTAAGGATTGCGTTGAACATTTAGCTTGCTTTTGGTAGGATTGTCATTTTCACAGTATTGAGTCTTCTATCCATGAACAGGGAAAATTTTTTCCATTTATTTAAGTCCTTTTATTGTGTCTCAAAGAAACATTCTGTAGTCTTCTTTGTACAGGTCTTTTGTGTCTCTAGTTTTCTCCCAAACACCTCAGTTCATGATTGGCTATTGTAAATGGTATTGCTTTCTTGGTTTCCTTCTCTGCATTCTCTTTTTTACTGTATAGGAATCCCACTGATTTTTGTATCTTACCTTGTATCTTGCCACTCTACTAAATTGATCTACTAGCTCTGACAGTTTTTTGTTTAGTCTTTGGGGTTTTCTGTGTACCCTATCATATCATCTCCATATAGTGACAGTTTGACCATCTCTGCCAATCTGAATGCCTTTTATTTCCTTCTCTTTTCATCATTACTCTAGCAAGTACTTCCAATACTATATTAAAAAGAAGTGGTGACAGTGGGCAACAGTGTCTGGTCCCTGTTCACAAGGAAAATGCTTCTATTCTTTCTCCATTGAGAATGATGTTGGCTCTTGGTTTTGCACATAAACTTTTGACTGTTGTTGTTGTTGTTATGTGCCGTCGAGTCGTTTCCGACTCATAGCGACCCTATGCACAACAGCCCTAAACCCTGCTCTATCCTGCGCCAACCGCACCGCCTCTGATACACCCATCCCGATTACCCCAGTCACCGAATCAATCCATCTCATAGAGGGTCTTCCCCTCCTGCGCTGTCCCTCCACCCTCCCAAGCATGATGTCCCTCTCCAAGGACCCGTCCCTCCTGGCAGCATGTCCAAAGTATGTCAGACGAAGCCCCAGAATCCTTGCCTCCAAGGAGTAGCTTGGTTTAATCCTCTCCAAGATGAATCTGTTTGTTTTCCTGGCAGTCCATGGTACATTCAGTACCCTTCTCCAGCACCACAGCTCAAAAACATCCACTCTCCTTCTGTCCTCCCTAGTCATTGTCCAACTCTCTGATGCATAACAAGCGATTGCAAATACCATGGCCTGTATCAGGCGCACCTTAGTCTCCAGAGAGATACTGTTGCTCCTGAGTACCTTTGAGAGGTCCCTAACAGACTTTCCCATCGTGATATGCTTTTTGATTTCCTGACTGCTGGTACCAAGAGTGTTAACTGTGGAGCCGAGCAAACTGAAGCTGTGAACAATCTCAATCTCTTCGTCATCCATCCTGACGCTGCTAATTGGTCCAGTGGCGAGAATCTTTGTCTTCTTGACATTGAGCCTTAGTCCATACTGAAGGCTGCAGTTCCTGGATTAAATGATCCAGGAAGTATTAAAAGAAGATGGAAGGAATATACGGAGTCATTATATAGAAAGGAATTGGCAGATACAGAGGAATTTAAAGAAATAACATATGAGCAAGAGCCTATGGTGATGAAGGAGGAAGTTCAAGCTGCTTTGAAGGAAATAGCAAAAAATAAGGCCCCAGGAATAGATGGTATACCAATTGAAGTATTCCAGATAACAGATGTTGCCCTGGATGTGCTCACCAAGTTGTGCCAAGAAATCTGGAGAACAACCACTTGGCCAACTGACTGGAAGAGATCTATATTTGTTCCCATTCCAAAGAAAGGTGACCCAACTGAGTGTGGAAACTACAGAACAGTGTCATTGATTTCACATGCAAGCCAGATTCTACTGAAGACTCTTTGGGGCAACTGAGTAGATGAGCTATCCATATTTAAGTTCATCAGAGTTGTGAGTTAAAACTTTGCTGAATGCTACTATCTTAATGAAAAGAATGGAGATTTAGGGGAGGTTTTGTTGAAGTAGGTATGTCTGCTATTAATAATAATTTCTTTTATTGTCTCTGTTTTAGATTCTGAAACGTGTTCCCAATAGTGTGCTCTGGTTGTTGCGTTTTCCAGCAGTAGGAGAACCTAATATTCAACAGTATGCACAAAACATGGGCCTTCCCCAGAACCGTATAATTTTTTCACCTGTTGCTCCCAAAGAGGAACATGTCAGGAGAGGTCAACTGGCGGATGTCTGCCTAGACACTCCACTCTGTAATGGACATACCACTGGGATGGACGTCCTCTGGGCTGGGACACCCATGGTTACTATGCCAGGTGAGCTAGTGATAAGTCACTGGAATTATCATTGTTCTTAACATTTCCTTTTGTGAAAAAGAATTATAGGTAAGTCCATGTATACTAAAGCCAGGTGATAGAAAATGCAGCTTGTTTAAGTTTGAACTCTTAGCTTCATTGTCTTCAGCTGCATTTGTGTGAATGCTTGACATAAATAAAATTGTCACATTCTTCGATATGCATTTCTTGTCTTTCTAAATGCAGGAGAGACACTTGCTTCTCGAGTTGCAGCTTCTCAGCTCACTTGTTTAGGCTGTCTTGAACTCATTGCTAAAAATAGACAAGAATATGAAGACATTGCTGTGAAGCTGGGAACTGATTTAGAATAGTAAGTAAACGTTCTGTGAATAAACTACATGGTAAAGTGGAAGAAATAAGGACAATTTAGAGTATACCTTATAAAGTCAGAAAAAAAAACATTTAATAATGAAACCCTCATGTAATAATATAAAATAGGTGAACTCATGTATAATCTCTGAATGGCAGAATTCCAAGTTTTCATAAAGTGATCAGTGAGTTTTACGGTGTAAAAAATAAATGGCTGAGTATTTTTTAAAGAACAAAATGAAAAGTTTAAAGAATTTTCAATTCCTATTGAAAATGAAATACGGAACCGACCAATGGTTCGCAAAAAAATTTCACCTTTTCTAGTGAAAATTTAAAGTAACATCAAAGTATATCTATTATTTGCTTATATAAGAAATAAGTTTAAAAAATATTTTACTTATGAGAAGTCATTGAGTTATAGGCATCAATGTAGGTAAATACAACCCTTCAAAATTTTAAGGATCTTTAATAAAAAGTTAGACTTTCAACCCTATAATGCAGCTTTTTTCCCTTAAATTTTTAAAATCTAATTATTTCTTTATCCCCTTGTCAAAGGAAATAATCGTCTTAAATGCTTTAGAATGGAATCTGTCATTAACTAGAGTTCAGTATTTGTTTCTCCTTTTAATGCAGAATTTAAGACAGTGAAATGAACAAATGTTAAATGGAATTTAGTGAATTTTGAGAACTACCTTTTATAACCTAAATACCTATAACTTAACATTGCTCTAGAAAATTATCTTATGTTGGTTTTTGCATAATCTCCCTTCTAGACAATCATTCTAAATTTTTTTCTAACATAAATTAGTTTTTCTTTCCTTAATGGAATTACTTTTAAAGTAGTCACTCTAAAGACTTTTTTGACTCAACATGTTTTTCATATTCATCTAAACTCACTGCCATCAAGTCAGTGCTGAGTCACACTATCAGGTTGCAGAGGTTGTAAATCCTAATGGAAGCAGAATACCTTCTCTTTTCTCCCACAGTGCAGATAACTAGTGGATTTGAAACACTGGACTTTTGGTTAGTAGCCAACACGTGCCACGAGGACTCCTTAAATCGAGTATGGTGGTATTTTTTTAGTTGAAAAGAAATGTTAATATTGTCTGATTGGGTTGAAATCAAGAGATAAGTGCTTAGTATTTTCAAAAGAGGAGTAGAGAGAATTATTCTGCTCAATTTCTAAATGGATCTTAATAGTATTAATGACATTTAAAAAAATTAATTAGTTTTGTCTTTCCTTGGTAGAATCACTTTTAAAGTATGTATTCTAAAGACTTTTTTCCACTTCAGCATATATTCAGTTCAGGAACAATTGGAAAATTAAGGCAATGGAGAGTTTTAATTTTTTTTTCCCTTGAGTTTTTCCTGTTTCTTAAAAATCTTAATTAACTGAGTATTTCATTTTAATTCTTGTACATTCACTATTATAAATGATACTTTAATGAACATCTTTGTACATGTATGAGGTTATACCATTTGAATAGATTTAGGTATTACTGATAGACTAAAGGAGTTATGAACATTTAAACTTCTGTGTATACTTTGCTCACTTTCTTGGTAAGCAGTTTACATTTTAATTGGTTGTGCTTAGGAATTACCATGTATTATTGCCGCTAATGGTTTTTATTTTAAAATTGGAAATGGCATAGAGACAACTTAATATCTTTGTATACCTTTGTCTGGGGAAAGAACTGATTACCCCCCCCCCCCCAATAAGTTGGCTAAGTGAATTAGATTACAAGTATAAAGAAAACAGAATGAAGTTTGGTCATGTATTTTGCCTCAAAAGTGACTTGGTATTTCTGGAGTCTGGTTCTGAATCTTTGTCCTTTAAATTTATTACACAGCCTGAAGAAAATTCGGGGCAAAGTCTGGAAGCAGAGAATATCTAGCCCTCTGTTCAACACTAAACAGTACACAGTGGAACTAGAGCGCCTCTATCTACAGATGTGGGAGCATTATGCAGCTGGCAACAAACCTGACCACATGATTAAGCCTCTTGAAGTCACCGAGTCTCCCTAAATAAAGACTTGTATGCACAAGAGAATAACTCCTATATTTGAGCCTCAGCCTTTTGGCGGAAAGGGAATTTGATAACATACTTTATTACTTATCTGTACAGTACCATGCTGCAGATGGGTGGAAAATAATGAGAATACAGCTAAGCTTGCTTCCTGTGTGGTAGAGAGAAAGACACAAAATGGGAGACTTACTGTTCCACAAAGAATCATCATAAAAATTTTCAGCATCTGGGTGGTGCATAGGTCTAGAAGGCCTTATCTCTGTTCTTCCATGATGGGTTGTTTATTGTGGAGAGAAGATACAAATTATCCAACCATTTTGTAATTCTATGGATTGACCGAGTCTTCTGTGCTTTAATTTTTTTCCTTTATATTTTGAGTATCTGAACTTCTAAAAATGTGTTTGGTTTCAGATATTTTCATTCATGTGAAGTATACTCTGAGATAAGGTTTTAAACTATAATGTTCCTTGCTTTAGTTTCTGAACTATACAAATTAATGGAGGCTTTGCTGGTGTAGTCTTTTTATAGGTTTTATAAACCATTAGAGCCTGTATCAGTTATTTAGTGTCTGACCTAGTGCTTGGAACTATCCATGTTTTTTGGTTTAGATGATGAATCAAAAAAATTTTGGCCCATTTTCCATTTCCTTCTCACTCCCCTCACCCACTTTAATTTTGATTCAAAACACCTCACACTGTTTCTCTTAAACACTCCGTCTGGTGCCAAATGAAAATTCTTAGGAGTGATTGATTATTAATTATGAAGGACACAGTTATGATGCTGTCATTGATAATAACAGAGTTCTTTTCACTATTTCGCCAATGTTTTACCTTGGACTGCCTCTTCTATGCTGCTTCCAAAAGTGATAGTGTGATAAGATTTTTACTTTCTTTTCCTAAGGTTTGTTTTAAGCGAGTCATGTTCTTCCTCTTTCTTTCAGCAGAAATGAAATCCCAGGTAAGTATAAATATTTGTATTTTTTATGAGTAAGTCACAGTTAACTCCAATATATGAAATAACTTTAATCTAAAACATGGTATCTTATCGTTAAAAGCTCTGAAAAACTAGACTGTCTATGTATACAAGTAAATAGTTTTCAGACTTCCTAGGGTAATAATTGTCTTTTGGATTTGATCTTGACATCTGTCAGTAGCTAACTGCACTGCTGTTTGGTTTGGAGTCAGATTAGATGTTAGTCCTCCAGTAGCACGTGAATGCTTGGTATTAAAAACCATAGGAATAAAATTAACTGAATTACAACAAGAAGTTGAGGGCTTGAGGCTTAAACAAGCCAACATAAGAATGTTTTGTCTTATTACTCTGCACTTAAGCTGTCCAGTAACAGATTTTTTTTTGTCTGCTAGTAGTATTCTTGATTACAGTGTCTTAAGTGCTGAGGCAGTGCAGCTATTCTGTAGTTGAAGCTGATACCTGAATCTATTCTTGCTGATAAATTCTTCTTGATCAATGAGAATTCAAATTTCTGAGTCTTAGTGCTGACCAAAATCTGAGCAAGGAGTTTCAAATGTACTATTTAACCCTAGAATTACCTATCAATGAAATGTGTAACTTTTAATAGTATAAACAAAGAAACATCAGTTTAGGGATTTCTTAATTTATTTTTTACCTGGTTGGAAAAAATATCTGTTAAATATTAGATTGCCAGCATGGTTGCAGTTAACTGATGTTTGAAGTTCATTACCAACCTCTGTAGTGTGGGAATAATATACTTCCATTGCCCTCAAGACTGTGACTTAACAGCCATCCATATATAGCACATCATTCCTCCTATAGGGATGAACTTTTTCCTGGCACGAAAAGTAGCTGCTGTGGTTGAAGCTTTGCTTATTGTAACAGGCTGTTGTTTCCAGCTAACATGTCTGTGGAAGACTTAATTCTGAATAGAGATATAGATGTTACTGGAAGCTAATTGGTTTTTTCTATTATACACTGCTTTATAAAAAAAAAAAACCAACAAAAAACCATATAATTGTGCTGTAAAGTCCAGATGTTGTCTTGCGATCTTTAAATAATAAATGAATGATATCTGTGTAACATAACTGTTACTTTGTGTTTTGTTATATTAAAAGTTGGGTAAAGGTTTATCAGGTGGTAGTTCCACATATTTAATATATGTAGTGGAGCAATTCAGTGCTCTGGCGGCCTAGTGGCAAGAAGTTGCACTGCAATCCCAAAGACAATGCAGTTTGAGGCCACTAGCTGCTCAGCAGGAAAAAGATAGGCAGCCTCCTCCTGTGTGATTAACTGCTTCTGAAAACCTACCAGAGAGTCAGCTATGGGTTGGTTCTGACTCAATGGTATACAGTAACAACAAGGAGGGCAAAATTACGGCGATTTATTGGCTATATTACACTAGCTCTAATGATGTAGTAGTAAGAAGCTGCACTGCCATTCCAAAAGCACGTGATTCAAATCTACTAGCTGCTCTTGAATAAAATGGGCAGTCTCCTGCCATGCAATTTAATGCCTCTAAAAACCACTTGGAGGGTCATCTAAGCATTGGTTACAACTCAACAGCACACAACCACTTGAGAGAATGAGTCTGGGCTTGGATGCTCAGGATCATAGTTCCAGGGGAGGATATTGAAGCCAATTGGCATAACTCAAGAACCTAACCCTGTGTACAACAGAACACACGCAGATTAACAGAAAGGGCAACCTAGGTAGAACTATCAAGTATGGAAATACAAAGGAGGAGGAACAGTTGTAAGCAGACCCTAGTGA